TTTGGAAACACCTGTTGACATGGTCCTCCAGAGTCGCTTGTTTTGATTGTACAGATGCCTGTGGCCCCAATATCCCCAGTTTGCGTCACACAATCCAAATTAGACTGGCAGATGGGTGCATTTTGTGTCCCGCCTCCACAGACGCCTCCGACTGGAACGTATTCCGTTGGTGTGGGCTGACACGTTCCCGAAGGGATTGAAACAGGTCTAGTCAGAGGAATACTTGGGGGTACGCATACCAAGCCACTCTTACAAAGTGCACTGACAAATTTGGGCTCCATGCACGGACCTCCAATATCGCTGATTTGTTGGACAACACATTTTCCAGCAATGCCTTTTGGAAGAGGGAATACAGTAACCACAGCACCAGTTTCACAGATAAGTCCAACTTTGCAACGGGCACTGGTATCTGGGAAGTCCAGTTGCTCACAGGGGCCTCCAGCGTCGCTCAATTTCCTGGTACAGATGCCAGTTGATCCAGGACCTCCAGTAGAAATGCAGTCCATGTTCTCCAAACAGATTGGAGCGGCGGCAGTTCTGCCTCCGCAAACGCCTCCCTCAGAGACTGGAACTGCAGCATGAGCAATAGCGGCAACGCATACAGCCTTTTTCTTTGCGGCCAGCGAATTGGGGAATTTAATTTGGTTTTTTGAATGCTCGATTTGGAGATGGAGACGTGACATTTTGAGGTTTTGGCCAATACTCCCCATTAAAACAATGAATCGCGACGATAATAAGCTGCATTTCCTTATAAAATTTAGGATTAAATTTAAGCCGTTATTCCGTATGTTGCATTAATGAGGCGAAACAAGGACTCAAGAGTGAAAGAAGAAAATTGAGTGAGTACCCACTTCAACTTTCAATGAGGACATCAGTTTATGTAAATATGTTACTTGTCTCGCTGGCCTCTGAGTCGTCAATAAGTCAATGGTATGGACAGCAGCTGGGGCAACAAGCTTCATTCCATGGCAAAAGTGTGAAACCTATTTTTGGAAACAGATTGTCTGATCGAAATGAAACTATTTAATGTATGACTATGGCATTAAAAGGCGAGAACAACAGCAACACGAAATAGAGCAACACTGACACTATTGGCAATGGTCGCAAGCACTTTTGATGGAACTGGGCCATATTTGCAACCAACCTTGTGAAGGCGGTTGCAGTGTCGGTGGTAGCAGTGGAACCAGTAACAGCTGCGACAGAAGTTGCAAATGGAGATAATGGTTGGCATTTACCATTTCAATTGAATTGGGTTTCAAGTTGGTTGAGTGAGTCTGCACGCTAATCCAGCTTTACAATAATTCGCATAAATCTCCAAGATTATGTTCTTGACGATAAGAATTTCCTTGCGCTTTTGGGTCGAACGGTCCTCCAAAACAAGCCAAATATGATTCACAGATTGGGGATGTTGGAATACCACCACCACAAATATCACCAACTGGAACTTAACTGTCTGGTTTGAATTCGCACATTTCTGAATATCCAGGTGCGGGGGGTACAGCAAGCGGAAGAGTTGCATCAACACAGATTAAGCCTGTCTTGCAAATTGCTCTGTTCGAAATACGTTGTTTGAACGGACCTCCAGCGCCGTTGATACTGGAAATACCGTGCAAACGCGTTCCGCTTTGGTGTCGTTGACAATTGAGACCACACGGCACATCAATTCAGTTTCGTCTTTTCGACAACTTTAAAAACGTTATCGAACGGATGTCATAGTCTCTGCGAGGATTGAACTCGCAGCCTTCTCCGTGTAAAGGAGACGTGATAACCACTACACCAAGAAACTACGGTGCCGAACGTGGTTTGTTACAATATATTTCTGAATATTAATTTTATGCCCTGGAATCCTTTACGAAATAAAATGGATGGATAAATGAATTGTAAATGGTAGTAAAGAAAAGAACAGAAAGTGAAAGCTTAAACCTCCGAAGTTTTCAGGATTTTCTTGCCAGGCTCAACCCACCACTTGTGCTCCATACTGCAAGCTGTGCTATCAGTTGACTTGGTCTCTGAATTGTGAACTGTCTCATTCAAATGCAAATGTCCGTACCAATGCGTAAACAGTGCAAAAACAAGCCCGTTCCAAACTCCATTCCAAGACTGCATAATCCCTTGAATCATATACAAGTTTGGATTATACTTGCACGTATCTGGCATAGTTGCACAAATTCTATATGCCGACGCAGGGACAGAACATGCGAAGAACGAAAACACAATGAAGCTTCCCTTCCAAAACAGCATCTTCTGGTATTCAGCCGTCTTCTTCGCCGTGTCATTCTCCGATACCCTACTTTCCTTCGATCGCCTGTGAACCACATACGCAACACACAAGTAAAACACGAAGATCCCGAAATAATGAATCCACAACGGAATGAAGTAAATGTAAATACGATACCACCAAAAGATTCCATTCCCTGTGATCCAGCACTGCAATGACGAAGACCCATACAATGGATACAACTTTGGATTCGCCTTCTCAGCAATAAATCCAATCCCAGTCAACAAAAGCGGCAACAACCACGCGTAATAAACTCCAATACGGAACACCCACTCAGCCTTCACTCCGCCAAACACGACAAACGCGAAAATATAGAAAAACAGAATCAAGTTCCACGAGGAACTCGCGTTGAAAAAGTATTCGGCGATGATACCGAGTCCGTAACACACTTTTTGGTTTTTGAGGTAGTTTGTGCCGAAGCAGAGGACAAAGGCGAGACCGAAGTCGGAGAAAGCGAGGCATGCCAAGATTGTGTTGAGCGTAGAGCGTAGGCGTTTGTAAGCGATAACAGTGATTATGGTTACAAGGCTGACTGTACAAGAAATTCCTGCGAATCCTCGCATGGATTGGACTGTGTTTGAGAGTTGGGATGGAGTCAAGTCGGGCATTGTTGAATGGTTTTTCTTGTATGACAATGAAACTTTCTGAATTCACAATGCTACAGTGTTATCTACGTACATATTCTTTGTTTTTGTCATCAACAATGGAATTAGATTTTTCACGCGTCAAATGTTCCTCAATTAGTAATTCACAATTTTGGTTTGCTTTTTCCCTCTGCCACAGCAAATCCGCGATCATCTTGTTCTTCAACCAGTAGTGATGGAAACTTGCGAGGCATCATTCTTGCAGGTTCCTTGCCGGGAACAACTTGATAGTGCGAGAAATCTGTGATTCCTTTGTGTTCGCGAAGGTAATCTTCATCAATCAATGCGCCGCCATTGACTTTGGATGATGGCTCTGTGAGATAGGGGATATGAATTCGTAAAGTTAAGGTACAGTGCTGTAAAATAAATTCATTACCATTCAAGATACCCAAGACAGCATCAGCAAAGATGGTTGGTTTTCTCAAGAACTCAGGGTTGATTTGTTTGACATGAGTAACAGCGCTCTGAACAGCCGTAGCAGGCCAAAGTGAGGTTATCGCAAGACCTTGATTAGAAACTTTTGGTCAAAACAATTGAATGGCGATTTCAACGCAGAATACCTTGTGAATCAAGTAAACCATTCTTGCTGTTGAATTCTTCCAATTCCATCGCAAGTCCATGCGTCAAAACAGTCATTGCAACTTTTGACATGGCGTACGCAGTCTT